TAAAACTGAACAACAGTTTAGCTTAATTAGTATAAAAAGGTCTGCCTTGAGCATTGTGCTCTTTTAAGAATATCTCTATGGGATCAAATTGACAACAGCAACTCAAAAGATTAGAAAGGAACACCTTAGTAGGCAGTGAGCTTGTATTAATGAGGGAGGAACAACTCAGAAAAGGATTGTGAGAATGGCTGCACAACTCAAGAGTTTAACTGACATCAATAAACTGTACATACAGAACATGTTGAACTGGTGTATGTTTTGCTGTATATTCTCCATAACAAAATAAAAAATTTAAAGAAAAAAATTATGTTAACTGTTTTCATCAGTAATCTTTTTATCAAATTAAGAAGATTTCCTTATATTCTTAGTTTGTATAAGTTTTAATCATAAAGGAGTATTAAATTTTATCAATTTTTTTTAATATATCTGTTGAGACTATCTGGTTTTCCCCTCGTTTATTCCATATTGTAGTGAAAAACATTTACTGCAGTCAAAACTTTTTAAGTACAAAAACAAAGCTCACTTGAACATGACAGAGCCTGTGGAATTCAATTTGCTAACTTTCAGATTTCTGATCTTAGGTTTACAAGAAAAAATGACCTGGAAATTTTCTTTCCTCTGATTTTATCAATGTTACGCTCATCTCATAAAATGAACTGGAAAGTTTCATCAAATGAGCAGAAAATCTTCCATTCTCCAGAAAAGTTTGTGTAAAATTAGTGTTATTTTGCTTAAATGCTTGAAATAATCCATCAGTTACGTCATTTAAGCCTAGAATTTTCTTTATGGGAAGATTTTAAATTATAGATCTAATTTCATTAATAAGTATAGGACTTCAGGATTTCTATTTCTACTTGTAATAATTTTTATAACTTGTGTTTTTCAAGGAATATGCCATTTTACCTAACAACTGTGAAATATATTTGCATAGAATTGTTCATAATAATCTCCTCTTAAGTAATACATGTTGTTGTTGTCATGTAATCTCCTCTTAATACATGTTGTTGTTGTTGTCATGTGCCGTCGACTCGGACCTGACTCATAGTGACCCCTTCTTGGATTGCCGAGGCAGTATCACTACAGAAGTAGATTGCCCGACCTTCCTTCCAAGGAGTGGCTGGAGGATTTGAACCGCCAGCCTTTTGGTTAGCAGTCAAGTGCCTTAGGCACTATGCTACCAGAGCTCCTAAGTAATATATATTAAGGTATATTTCACATAAAAAAATGCAAAAAGCTTTAATCTATAGCTCAATGAATTTTCATGTAGGTACACATCTGTATAACCACCACTATGATCAAGAAAAAGAACATTTTCACTACATTAGAAGATCTCTGGCACCCCACTCCTATAAAAAATCTGCCCTGAGAAGTAACTACATTCTAACTTTTATCTGTAAAAGTTAGTTTTACCTATTCTTAAGTTCATATGAATGGACCCATACAGTATACACTCATCATGTGGCTTCTATTGCCTATCAAGGTTTTGAGGTTCATTCACCTCATTACGTAGTTGAGGAGTTTCTTTCTTTTTATTGTTGAATAATATATTGTTGTATAAATACACCAAACATTTTTTATCCATTCTCCTTCTGATAGACATCTGGACTGTTTTCAGCTTTAAAAACAAGCTGTTATGAACACTCTTGTTCAAGTCATTCTGTGGATAAATGCACAGGTATCTTTTCATTATATTCCCAAGAGTAAATATACTGGGTTGCAGAGAAAATACATGTTTATTTTTATTAGGATCTCCAGAACAGTATTCCAAAGTCTTTTTACCATCTTTCACTTCCACTAGCAATTAGTGAGAGCTACAGTTGCCCTATATCCTGTCCTATTCCAACATTTGCTATTATTAGTCTTTTCAATTTTCGCTTTTGGATAGTTCCATAATAGCATATACTCTTAATACTATAAAGTTACCGATTTTTACTGTTTGTTTCGTCAATTACTGGCAAGTTTGTTAAAATTTCCAACTATAATTGTTTATTTCTCTACTTCGCCCTTTTGTTTTCTTAAATTTCATATACTTTAAGGCTATGTTATCAGGTACATATAAATTAAAATTTTTCTGGAGTAACTTTCATCACTATGAAATAACAATTTTGATCTCTAATAATACTTCTTGCCTTAAAGTCTATATTGTTTGTTATTAATACAGCTGTGTCAACTTTCTTTTGGCTGTATTCATGGTTCATTTCCCAGCCCCTCCATAATCTTTCTGTCCTTATGTTAACATTTAGTGTCTCTTGTAAACAGTATAAAATTGGCTCTTATTTTTTTCTACCCAGTCTATCTTTTTGTCCCTATATGTTTATTTCTTCCATTTGTCTTCATTTAATTAATCAAGTTTTTTTTTTCCAATTCTTTTTATTTGGTTTCTATTAGCTTTTCAGTTATATATTCTTTTCGAATTCTTTCAGTGGCTACTCTAGAGATTGCAAATACGTATCTTCACTAGTCTCTCTAAATTAACATTGGTATCAATTTTTGAACAACGCAAAGACTTTACAATAGTTTAACTGCTATATACTCTTATCTCCTCTCTGTGCTACCGTCATCTATTTTACTTTTACCATTTATAGCCCCTCAAGATACTACTATTATTGTTGTTTTAGACAGCTGAACTATTTTATATTTACCTTTTGCAGCATTCTCTGTTCCCTCTCACAGTTCTGTGTTTTCACCAGGGATCATTTTTCTTTCACCTGAAAACCTTTAGTATTCTCATGGGCCAAGTATAATACATACAAGGACTTTTTCACCTTCTGCTTGTGAAAAACATCCTAATTTCATCTTCATCTTTCTAAGGATATTTTTTTCCTAGTTACAGAATTCTAGATAGGTTTTTTTTAAAAAAAAATCACATTTTTACTTTAAAGTCTAGCAGTGTACATTTACCTTCAACAATTTCTATTAAAAACTCTGCTTTCAGTTTTATCGCTGCTCCTTGGAAAGTAATATATATTTTTTTCTTTGGGTGCTTGTAAGATTAGCTTTTTGTTTTCGGGTTTTAGCTATTGGACAGCCTTGTGCTTGGTGTGGTTTTCATTGTATTTATCTCATTTGGGGTTTGCTAAGATTCCTGAATCTGGGTTGATATATTTTAGTTTTGAAAATTCTCAACCATTATTCTCTTCACCCTTTCCTCTTCTACCTTGTAGGTCCATCACTAGTTACCCTTTTGTTATACATTCTGACTATGCCCCCCCTGTATCTCTTATGTTTGTTTCACTGTTTTCTGTTTTTATGCTGCTCAATTTACTTATTTCCTTTTAATCTGCTTAGAATTCACTAATTTTATCTTCTCTTGTTTATAGTTGGAAGGCAACAGCCTCTCTGTGGGAGAAAAATGTAGCAATTTGTTTCCATAAAGATTATAACCTTGGAAACCCTGCGGGACTCTGTCCTATAGGGCCACTACGAGTTGGAATTGACTCAACAGCAAAAAGTTCTGGGTTACGGATTCGTCTTACAGACTTCAATTCTCTACCAAAACTTTTCCATTTTCCTTAACACATTAATCATGGTTAAAATTCTAGTCTATTATCTCTTATAACTGTTATCACCTGTAAATGATAATTCAAGAGAATAAAATATTCTACCCAAGAAGGGTCCCTTTTTTCTATCTTCTTTCCTTTTCTTGCCAACTACCCACTACCACCAAAAGCTCACAACTGGCAAATGACTCCAGGAAAGAAAACATCCAGCATTTGTCAGATTACTTTGGACTGCCTCCTCCATTCCTTGAAATACCAGTTCATCTAGTCATTTTTACTTCTACAGCATTCCAATGTATTTTAAAACAGTATTTCTTATAATTTACCTGGCTTTTTCACAGTTTACAGTAAGAATCATGGACAGTTAGTTATGACATACTACAATACATATAAACAGAATTCCTTCCAGTCTTTTCATATCTGCATCTTTAATGATTTCAGTCTCTTAAAAAGAAAAAGGTAAGTACAGAGGAGCTACTAATGATTTACTAGTATAAATATAAAACAAAGGTAGAGTAGACCTAACTTTCTAATTTAATTAAAATGCAGAGGATCAAAACAACTAACATTTATTCTAAGCATTAAAATGAAAAAATAAAATGTATAGCAACTGTAGTAGTAAGCCAAAACCAAAAACCAAACCCACTGCTATCAAGTCAGATTCGACTCATAGTGACCCCTTCCTTGGGTTTCTGTTGTTGTTATCTGCCGTCGAGTCGGACCGAACTCATAGTGACCCCTCCTTGGGTTTTTGAGGCAGTATCCCTACAGAATTAAGTATCTTTCCGGAAGTAGATTGCTCAACCTTCCTTCCGAGGAGTGGCTGGTGGGTTTGAACTGCCAGCCTTCTGGTTAGCAGTCAATTGCCTTAGACACTACGCCACCAGAGCTCCATATTACTGAGAGTGCCTAGCTGTTCTTGATTTCCTGACTATACAATTTCTCATGCCATATGCTCCCCTCCCCTCTTTTAATGCATGTAACTATAAAAGAATCTATGGCCAAAGACTTCACAAAGTTGAATGTGATGGCTTTATTTACTGAAAAAGAGGCCTGATCTAAGGACGCCTATGGAAGTTAATAGTTCAAAGACATGGGTAGAATACTCTTTGAGACATTCATTCTTGGCTTCATACAGTGAGAACAGAGAGTAAGGAGTTTCTATGACGACATACATAATTTAAAATGCTGCATGAATTCAAACAAGAAACTAGTAGGGTGGGCAGAAAGGTAAACAGTTGTTACTGAAAAGAAAATTCCTAATTATACAATCATAATTAAGTAATTTGATAATGTGGGGAGAAAATAAAAAGTTAAACTAGTAGTTTTGGCCAGTAAGATCGATTTACATTTCAAAATTTTGGGAAGAACTACCCTTAACTTAAAAGTAAGTTCTTTTGTATCCCAGAGACAATGGGTAAAGCTTACTTATATTTCACCAAAAGAAAAGGACCAGCTAATTTTCCCAACAATTAAGATACAACAAGTTAAAATACTTACTGATATACTAAGGGTTTCATTCTTGTGGTCAAAATTCATTTTTCCACAATAAGCTCGCTGAGATAGTAAGTTGTCAAAGTACAATTTGCATCGCAAAGTCAAACACCTTGAAGAAAAAATATTTGGCACATTAAAAAGATGATGATACAGAACTGTATATTCAATACAATCTAAGACAAAGAAGAAATAAGTTTATATAACAAGACAAGATAAAAAGATGCCAAAATGTTGACATTTGTTGCCCATTTAATAGGTGCAATTTTAGGTTAGTCTTCTTCCTGCTCTTTACATTCATTTGTACAGGCAGTCCCTGAGTTATATACATCTGACTTACGATATATACATCTTACCTTCGCTTTAAAGCAGGGCTTTGGACAGCTTCTGTCATAACTAAGGAAGTGAAACAGGAACAGATTGGAATTTTTACAATTTGGATGAGTCTACACAGTAACCAGATGGGAAAAATTACAGGTGGAAGCCCTAAAATGGGAGACTCAGAGGAGGCATAGTAAGCCCTTTTAGGAGCCTGATACCTGAGACTGGATTACTGGTAGGACTGTGGAGAGTCATACACATTCAGAACATCTCGGTCAGCTGCCATCTTTGAAGCCCTGCTTTAAAGTTACAGAAATTACCCTCACTTTGAAAACCACTGAACCAACCCCTACTAGAAATAAATTATTCATCATGATCACCTTCACTTGCTGCTTGTGCAGCTTTTAAATTACTGAAAAGGCTTTCAGCCTTCTCTTGCACTATGTTGTTGTGTTGTTATGTGCCATCGAGTCATACCTGACTCACAGCAACCCCTCCTTGGGTTTCCAAGGCGGTATCACTATGGAAGTAGATTGCCCAACCTTCCTTC